TTAAAAATTACATAGCCACACATTTTTTTTATAAGCATTTAAAGTTCAAATTTTGACAATATTTATCAAATTGAAAATTGAAAATGATTTTGTAGTTAAGAATTTATAAAATTTTATTTATAAAATTCTTGCAGCTAAGGATTGAAAATTTAAAACCTGGTTCAACTTAGTTTTTTCCTCAACTAAAAAATTTTAAAAATATATAAATACAGTTATTTTTTACAGACATTTTGAGTTCAAATTTGGACAAATCTCATATGAACACAAAAAGTAATTATTTTTGTCATTTTATTGTAATTCGGTTCCAAAACAGCCCAATTTTACGGAGTTATATTTAATATTTTTCCAGCATCACTGATAATTTAAGAATCATATTATTCATAATATTAATTCAACTTACCTATACCTCATTAATAATAAGTAATAACAATATAAAATATACTCTAGACTGACATACCGTCTCCTCTCAGAATCGTTTTTCGTATACAATTATATCATATTATTGAATTTAAATTTAGACCATCCATTTAACCTTTTAGACACCTATTGAACAGCAGAGTGACATCCACTTACCCGCTTTTTTTGTTGTTATACATATTAATAAAAGGATTCATCTTATTTCACAAACAAATTCAAAATCAAAGTTACTTCTAGGACTTAGTTAAAATTTTAAAATGGTGTATCAATAGTATATTAGTTTATAGTATTATAATTATTATTTTTAAATAAAACCCCTTTTAGTTAAGTACTTATTATAAAAAATAGGAAGTCCTTAGTATAAAATCACGGACAGGCAGAAACAGTTTCAGTTGTTTATAATTACTTTATTAGCTTGAAAAGCCAATAAAAACTAAAAAGTGTTTTATTATTCGAATATTAAATTGATTTTTGGTCAACTATTTTTGGTACATACCAAAATCTAGTCAATAAGTAATAAGATCAACAACAAGGCTGTACCTATCTAAATGAAAAAATGTATGGTGATCCCACATTTTTTTAATATGAACCCAACACTTATTATTTTTATATTCAATGTATAAAACCTCTTTATGCTCGTTATTACTACTTTAACAACAATTTTTAATTATTCCTGATATATAGGCATTAAGCAACATTCTCAGCTTAAATTGTTCTACTTTTGAAACTTTCAGTAAGGAGGGGTGGTCTTTTCCTGGACCCCTCTCCAGTTACATCAACATAGTGCAACTATAACACTTTTGACAATTGATTTATATTTATTAAGTTTATGAGTATGAACTTGAAATTGATCAGTCCGCTATTCCCAATTTTGTTCCCCCAACTTCTATAAATTTAATTTTCGAATATTTTAAAATTTAAGACATTTCAAGTGATGATTATTTGGAATTGAAATCAGTACTCTTAAAATATTGGAATAATAATGTAAATAATCTTGAGAAAATAATAATAGTCATATAGATAATAGTGAACTCGGAAGTATTATCGTATTATTAGATCGGAGTGAACTTGAAACCAATTTGTATTTTAGAAAGCGTAGTGTAAAAAACATTCCAGAAAAAAATTTTAATGCATTGAAATCCTAGCCCTACTAATAATATTTTACTACACACGCACAAGCACTTTAAACATTGCATATTATACTGAGTACCTTAAATTTTCACCATATCTCCCTATATGCAATACTGTAATAATGTGTAGTATGTATAATTAATTACGTATTTGTGTATAAAACATTTCTATCACAATTTTCTCTCAAACTAGTGTTTTTACTGTAGTTACAATAGTTACTACATACAGTAGTTTTTAAATATAAAAAATAAGTACATTTTTGAATTTTCTAAAACTGCTAAAAGACGAAATATTTCAATAAAAAATAATTTCACAAAACTATAGAACCTTAAACTCACTATCATGTATAATCATTAATTGAAAATCATATACAAAACATGTATGTGTATGTGCTACTTATAACCAGCCATCAGTTAAACTTTGTTAGCTATAATGCCCGAAAGGTAATTATAATAAATGTAGAAGGGTTAATTAGCCAAGCGAGTGAGAGCTAATGTTAATTATTAGTTATTACAGTGAGTTGATAATATTATAAGATTATATTATTATTATAATATTATAACATTTTATCAACCTTTTAGGTTTGTTGGTTTTACTTTTTTACAATGAATTAATTTTGAAGTATTATTAATGAACATTTTTAAGTCGTCATATTTTACATTAACCTATTTTAATAACTCTTAAAAATGTAAACGTAAAAATCATTGATGATCAAAATAAATATTAATTATAATAATTAATATGGATAGTCTATGGACTATGATCAAGGTTAAAACATAAATTAATAAACATATAATCAGGTAATCAGTGGTGTTCGTTTCCGTGTTGAGCGTCTGAAAGAGACTTACTTATACCGTATTAATAAATAATAATAAGTAATGACCATATAAAATATCCTAGACTGACATGCCGTCTCCGGTATGTTAAATGATAATAGTATCAAATCCACAGGCATTTTGGTGATCCTTCACAGTTATACAAGTTGCTTATACTTCAAAAAAAAAACCATTCAACCTATACGTTTTGTATTTTTGGTAATAAGTTAGTCTTAAAAATTAAAAACTAAATATCTCATTATTAATTGGTTGAAAACAGTCTATTATCTTGTAGTATGCACCTAGTTGCTTAGTTTTTTGGCTCTAGTTTTGTAACAGTCAACCAGTAAAGTTTATTTCTTTACGATACTAATTTATTGTTTTCATATTTAATTTTAAAGCAATATTTTTGATAATCAATATGTGATTATAATAATAGTTAATGTATATATTTATACATAAAAAAATAGTAAAAACTTATTACCTACTTCGAATATTACTAAAAAATTCTTACTAAAATACATTTCAACTTGTGATTTATATCCAACATCAAAATTAACCGTAAAAATTAATAATCTTTCAGAAAATTCGGATTCATTTTCAAAACCGCCTGCTAAAAGTTCTAAGTCCATTATAATACTACAACCGAAACTCAAACATGACCTCTCCTCAACTAAAAATAATAGCTCTCTGCCTGTTAATTCAAATTTAATAGTCCTATAACAACACAGAATCAGTTAAAAATGTTTTTAAACAAAATTGATAATATTGGAAAATGTTCTGGTATGTATGGATTTTTTCATGAAAAATGTATTGGTTATTTTGAAGGGAGTTCAGAAGATATTTTAAATGTGTTCTGCCTGTCAAAATTTGCAGAAAGTAAATACAAGAATTGGAATCTAAATCTAAAATTAAGTCTTGAAAATAAAGTGATTTTACTGAATGCTCCAGTATATATTAACTACTAAAGTTTAAAAAAAAATGTAGGCTATTAAAACTTATAAAAATAATTTAAAAAACAATGATAGAATGCCTTTAAAAGTATCTGGAATTTTAAATTTTATGAAGGCACATTATTAATTGAAATATTCATTGTACTTTCCTATTTTAAAGTGTTTTTATTAGACTTTTGTATTATTGTAAATTAAAACTATAATTGTAAGCCATGTAACTACTTTTATCATTTTTTAAACTAATATTGGAATACTGTTATTTTTATAAAATCTTTAATATAATACATTATAACTTCATAATATGATACTCTGTAATTTATAATTGTATCAAAAATTTTAACCGCTTTATGTCTTACTCTTTATGTTTATATTACAATGTTAAGTCTTACATCATTTAGTTAATATTGGAGTGTCAAATGAGTTTATCAGATTTGACTAGCCACTTACATAATTGTATACATTAATGTTTCAAAACAGTTCATTCTCTATTTATTATTTAGTGTCCCAATAAGTATTATTTGTGTACATGTTTATACAAATTATATACAAATTAATGTATGTGTGTCTGTCTGTATGTCTCTTATGCCCCTGCCTAAGCGGCTAGACCAATTTTGATGACATTTTTTGTGTGTTTGGGTGGTTCCCTGGATGATGTAGATTCACAATTAGACCTGTAAGGTTTAACCTGGAGGGTTACCCAAACAGGGATTTTGGATATTTTTATTTGTAAACAGTTGCTATTGATTTTAAGAGAAATAATTAGTAGAAATTTTTTTTTTCTATGATTGGCATTGGTTAATCAAAGCATGCATCAACTCAAATTTCCGCACATTGTCTACCAAGGTGGCAGAGTTGAACTTACAGTCGCTCATCAGTGTCCGCAATTGAAATAAAATAAACATATTATTCATATAGAGTTACATAGCACATTAGATACCTAGAATTCTAGTCATTGTAATAGATATGTTAAATTTGAAGAATTCAAAGTATTCAATCTCTCGTTCAATGACTAGACCTGTTGTCTACTCCAAAATAATTATAAAAATAGTCATTATAGTTTATAGCTTAGTCAGTACCTAAACCTAGCAGAGGACAATTTAAATCGAGGTAGGCAAAGTAGCATAGCGTTGTACAAATACATAGAAGTCGTAGAATTCAAAACTTCAAAACTAAGTTTGACCAACAAATTATGATTGCACCATCGTCCTTAACTCGTTGGAAGTATTTACATAAATTAAAAAAAAACATCATCATTCGTTAGTTCGTTACCACAGAAGTGGTGAACCAGAGAGAAACGCGAGTTGCGAATGCGTGAAAATTGCAAAATAACCTTCGCTATCGTCTTCAGTGTAACTAACTAAATGTCTATGTGAGTTAACCCAGAAAAAACAATGCAACAAAAAAGTGTGCCCGGTACAGTAATCAACTTCCAATACAGTCAATATACTATATAGAAGTAGAGAGCAAAAATCTACGTATATAGGTATACAAATATATAACAGACGTCTAATAACTACGTAAAATATTATTATTATTATTATTATTATTATTGTATCCACAATCGCGGACGTAGTACGTACATATTTCTGAAATTTAAACTGATCAACTGATCACCACTTGAAAACCGAACCATGGTTATACTAGTAAATTCGTTATCTCGTTATCATAACGGAATATTGATAGTGCACATTTGTTTGTTTGGTTTTTAGTTTTTGGAAACAATTTGGAGTCCATACTTCCATAGTGCAAATTATCCACAGCTTGTAGCTAATTTCTATTCGTTTTCGACTTTTCGGTATCAAAAATTTAAAAGCCATATTGCCTGCTGTGTTGTAACAGTTGTAACTTGTAGTTAGTAGTTACTTATTACGGTAATATTACTTATTGTTTTGTTACTTCTTACTTGTTGTGCAGCGTTAAGGTCAGCTGTTAAGTGGCCGTTGAAAATATTCTATTAATCGATAATATTATATTGCCATAGTAAGGTCGAAATACGTGCCTGCGTTTGAATTTAATTCACCGTTTACTAAGATACTACAAACTACTCAACGTAATGGCTCTTGAGAAGTAAGTTTGATTTAAGTCATTATTTTCTGTTCTCTTATAAAACTGTTCAGATCTGTGTCTTGCATTGAACATTTCTCGATAAAATGACGAATCGACCTAACAAAGCTTTGGAATATTACAATGATTATACAGAGTGTACACAAAATTTACCTTTGGACATACAGCGGCACGTGACGCAGATGCGTGAACGTGATTTGGAGTTCCAAGAAATGATGTCGAAGATCAAAAAGTTGACTGACAATATTGATGGTTGTATGTCTAAAGTAAATTCTGAAAAATTGACAGAGCTATTAGTAACCGGTTTAAATATAGGGGATAAAAAAGTGCAAACAGTTCAACAAATATCTGACTTGGTAGATGATAAAGTCAGGCGCTTGGAAAATGGTAAGAAATATTTCACCTCTACTAAAGAATCTGATGCTTCCAATCCAAGTATCAAAGAAAAACCAGAGAGCAGTAATTCTTCCAAAGATCGATGCTTACCTAGCACTAGTACTAGCACTAGTACTATTTCTAAAGAACTGAAGAAACGCAACCCTGATAATGATGGTAATGAATCTAACAATGATGCAAAACTTGTGAAACGGCCCAGACGTAACAAAGTCGATGAACCAGATTACAAAGAGATTTCTGATGATGTGGCATTGTCAGCTATTCAACATTCCAACACACCTTTTCCAAGATCTACAGCAACAGCGCAAGTACTATCTCAAGTTACATTGAAAAAATCAACTCAAAAAACAGAAACAAAAACCAAAAGGAAGGGAAAATATAAAAAGCAACAAAAGGACAATTCACCATCATTAGATGATGATGATGATGATATAGCGGTCGATCCGGACGAACCAACCTATTGTCTTTGTGATCAGATTTCATACGGAGAGATGATATGTTGTGATAATGATTTATGTCCAATTGAATGGTTTCATTTTTCATGTGTTTCATTATCAACAAAACCAAAAGGCAAATGGTTTTGCCCCAAGTGTCGTGGAGATCGTTCAAATATAATGAAGCCTAAAGCGCAGTTTCTTAAGGAACTTGAACAATACAATAAAGAAAAAGAAGATAATGCTTAAGATTTTGTTTTGAACATCAATCACAATCTACTTAAATTAATTTGATATTTATAAATACTTATTAAACAATAAATTATCTTGCATTGAATTTACATATTATATAATCTAGGTATACAATCCAAATTAAAGTTGTATGTTTGTATTAATAAATGAGTTGAAAGTAAAATTATGGATATTATTAAACATTCAAAGCATAACTAATTTATCAAACCTAAATTTAGGCATATGTAGATAGTTGTATATTATTTGATAACATGTGTCTATAATAGTACTAAAGTACTTTTATATTAGGTATATATTTTCATATTTTTATAAAATCATAGTATAACCTAGACTAATACTATTTAAACAAATTAGTTTTATATAAGGTAAATATATTTTTATATTTTTATAAAATCATAGTATAACCTAGACTAATACTATTTTAACGAATTAGTTAAATGAATTAAATATATAAAATGTGTATTTATATAAATGCCTTAAAAATGTTCTATTATTATTATTGGCTCGGATATTTATGAAATTGCATATTTTTTTTATTTATCCAATTTAATGTTGACATAGATACAAATTTAATTTATGTTCTACTGAATCAACTAATACTATTTTAATTTTGCATATTTAAAAGTTTTGTATGTTGGGATTTTAAGAATATAAATGCATATTTCAGTGCAATTTTCAACTTTTTTAAAAAACAGTTTAAATTAATGGTCTATTTGAAGCAACTATAGACATATTTCTTGCACATGCACATCCTAGAGTAGCATAAACAATTGGTGGAAAATTCAATAGTTTGAACGGACTTGTGTCAAATGTGAAAAAAGTTCTTTTGAAAGCCCAATCATGTTTAGAGATTTTTGAAACAGAAACCTATAGTCTCTCCCTCCGGTTCCTATGAAAGCCGTGGTAAAGGAAACATGGAAAACGTGGTAAGTAGCTGGCATTTTACTTCTCTCATAATTATACAAAAAGTTAAGTTAATATTAACTAAGTTCAATAACAAATTACTTTTTTTTTGAAACTTACTTAGTTCCATTTTTATTATACTTGACATTTTAACTTCAAGTTAATTGTATACAGATTTATTTAAATTTTCAATTGGATATCAACCAATAAACATTTATTTATAATTTTGTTGCTTTATGGAATATTAGATAAGTATCATAGTTCATAGAAATGTCCAAGAATAATAGTTTCATATGTAATGTAGAATTATTGGTTTGTGACTAATATTTCTTTTCTATTGATATATAGTCGGATATACTCGTATAAATATTACTATATGTCCATATTATGTAAAGTATAGTATGTAATCATAAAAGTAGTATATACAACACGTGTTATATAATACTGGGTATACATTTTCAAATTACAATTAGCCTGTATTCTAGCTGGTGCTCGCAAAAAACAAAATAGGTAGGCTGTTATTTTGACCTCACATTATATTTACTATTCATATAATTGTCATATATTCTGAACATAGTTCTAATAAGACATAAGACATTATTATTATAGTTTATATAAAATAAATGTATCAATCCCCTCCTAACAACATGACCAAAATACTCCATTGCTACACGCAGAACCCCGAGCTTGAAACAATTTTCAAATTGAAAATTTTTTATGATATTATTTTGATATGAATCAAATTGATTTGTGAGATAGCAGGCAAAGGCAGTCACAGATAGGGAGGGGCAAGTAGTGGCGGTTACCCCCAATGGATTTTATTTGGGTAAATTATTAGAATTATTATGTAAGATAAAATATAACACATTTTTTTTCTTTAAAATTTTTTACTAAAAAAATCTGCTAGCTTGCTAGCTATTGGCATACAAAATAATTAATATTAAATAACTGGTACTAGTATTAACCGATTAATAATTATTATATATTGGTGACGTAATAAATTCTTAACAATAAAAAATTAACTTTTTTATCATCATTTTTAGTTGTTTTCCGGTTTATTAAGAACTAGATATAACATTTATTTTATGTAAAAAAAATTAAATCTTAAAGTTAAAGTTCTGATTCAACTAGTTAAAATGAAAATATTCTCCTCCATCCACCCACCTATAAAGAGTGCTACTGTAACACAGTTTCGGCTATACTTATATGCTTTGCTACAGCCATTGACTTAAAAAATAACAAAACAATTTATGAAAAAATACTCAGTAATTTGATATGCACAAGTAATGTGCTCTAGAACATTACATAAAATTATGTATAATATATGGCACCCATATCAATTGTAACCTTGTAAGTAGATACATTGCATATAGAAAGCGCTTGGTTGTAGATAGCATTGTTAATAAATACTTCAACCATAAAGTTACAAAGAAACATAAATATACAAACAAGTCTCATGGAGACCTACAAAATGTATGATATGGAATTTAGAATAAAATAAATTTGGTTTGATTCTGGTTTGTTTAACAAAATATTTAGTTTAAATGAAAATATTGTTAAATTAAAGTTCACGATGGGGAAATTTCACTGTAATCAATTACATTAATGGTTTTTTTAAAGGGAAAATACATCGATACGAAATACCTACCTACACCTATTATGTAATAACTAATAAGTATGACTATTATTTGAGGGTATTCTAACACTTTACTTACTTTAATATGTTTTTCATATAGGTACCTATTTTTTTACTAACTTCAGTCATAGATTAAATATACAAGTACAATATACTAGTATATTAAATCTAAGCTTCAGTTTAGTTGTTTACACTTTTAATATTAACTGTACACAATGATTGTGTAACAATTTTTTTACTTACCTTTATATTAATAAAATAATAAAACATATACATACATTGTATTAAGTAATGAATAAAATAAAAATAAAAATTATGTACCTACCCTTTAATTTAGATTGAAGCTTTGATTACTTAAAAATTATATAAACATATATATATTATAATTGTAGGCTTTTATTTATAAGTTTGATGAATGAAACATAATTTTAAATTATTTTTATTTACAATTTACTATGAATAACTCTCTGAATACCACAACCACCCGCCCAAAATATATTGGTGGTGCAGTGCACCAAAAACAGTATACTCAAACTGCTACTGCCTATACCTATTATGTAATAACTAATAAGTATGACTCTTATTTGAGCGTATTCTAACGCCTTACTTACTTTAATATGTTCAATAGGCATGAACCTACATACGGTAACACCGAATCTTTTTTAAATCACTGTATAAACTCTTTTTTTGGTGTACCTATACCCACCGACCTTAAACGACAAGTACATTTTTTTTTTTTAAATATAGTGATAAATGAAATAAAGGAGAGATTATAGGAATTAATTTTAAGTGGTTTGGATTAAACTCTGACGACTTCCAAGAACAACATTGTCACTGTATTCCATGGCGACTGGTATATAATGGTGTACAACCCTAACCCCTATAAGTAATATTTTTGGTACTGGACAAAACATATAATATAAACCGACTGATAAGTGATTCTTAGAGGAGCATTGAACAGATTAATTTCACAATGATGTGTGTTAAATACCTAAATTAATTTCATAGATTAAGGAAAAGAGGACGCCAAAGCTGCATATAATGCCTTTCTTTTCCAAATGTACGACATATCCAAGCGGTTCAAGTTTTGTGCAATAACCTCTAATGATAGGCAGAATTAACCTATTGTAAAACTCATAGATATGAAAATAATCTATGATTTCTCAGAGGATTCTTGTAATATTTTAATCATGAATACATGTTTGAATAGGTTAACATGAAAAATATTACAATTTAAAAATTCTCATGACCTGTCAAAACATTTTAATTACATAAACAACTCTCAACGTCAACACAGTACAGCATTTTTTTAGCTTTCGATCATACAACATGTAATCTCACTCTATAATTAAAGTTTACTACCGAACAATGAAACATACAATGTTTGTTGTAAATTTGTAAGACGGTAACAACACAAGCAGTTGAGGGTCCTCAAAATCAATTTTGATTAACCTTCATTTAAATTTTTTGTAATAAAATAATAACAAATTGTACTTTTTTTAAATTAAATTATTTATTACTATTGTCAAAAAAATCCATACACCATAATATTTAAAAATTAGGAAACATTATTTAAATAAAAATTTACATTTCAATGAATATAGTAGTTATACATGTTACACCATTACATTTCTTACCAATGTGCATTAAATGTTTATTCAAAATTAAATAAATAAATAATTGTTAAATAAAAAGAAAAAAAATATTGAATTTACTCTCCATTCATTTGTTTTTTAAACCAAAAACGAGCTCTAAAGTCGTCTGAACAAGTCAAAAATGCTGCTGAATTCGGAGAATGCACTATTGAACGAATAGGTCCGTTATGGCCTGCAAAATAATTGTAAATCAAAACATTTAAATTTAAACAAAAATGCATTTAACAAAATGAATTACCTAATGATAACAGCTGTTGTCGAGAAGCATTCCGAGCATTCCATGCACACAAAGTTGTAGTGGCTTCATCAGGAAACATGACATACTCCTCAGTATGATTAAACAATGCTTGTGTTTGATGTTTTTGTGTATCTATTAAAAAACTTAGATTATTTATACAATTTTAATGAAAACAAACAATAGTTTACCGGTGGTTCCAGCTCCTGTATATACAATCAGACATCTACTAGTGGATAATTCCCAAAGTTTCACTAAAGAATCTTTGCCCGATGATAAAACGTACTAACAATTATAATAGAAAATCATTTAATATCATAATGTTCAGATAAATAAAATTATAAAAATATTCACCTTTCCATTTCTTGAAAATGTCACAGAACACACTTCACTACCATCGTGTGCTTGTTCAAATGTGTTAACACATTTATTAGACACAGCATCCCACAATTTAATAGCACCATCTTTACTAGAGGACACAAAGTACCTGGCATTTGGTTCAAACCTGATACATCACAATAAATAATACATTTAAAAATAATTGAATGGGCATTACACATAAGATAATTTTGTATACTATACTTTATTGATGTAATAGGACCAGTATGTTGATGACTGGGAATTGCACTAACGAAACATTGTACCGTATTTACATCATAAAGCCTTATGACTGGACTATTGGTGCCCATCACCATAAAGTCTCCTAGTGGGTGGAAACTTATACATGTTATAGGTTCGACATC